TTTTTGGGTCAATTTAAACTTGATAGTTAATTTTGTAACCACTCAAAAGTGTGAAATTATGCTTAGTCCAATGGTATGGACTGCTGAGTCTAAATCTAAAGGATGAGGGTACAAATCCAGGGTGGAAATTTTAGATTTTAAAATTTTATGTCTTTTTGGGTAAATTTAAACTTTATAGTTAATTTCGTTAACACTAAAAAGTGTGAAATTATGCTTAGTCGAATAGTATGGACTGCCGACTCTAAATCTGAAGATTGCGGGTTCAAATCCAGGTAGGAAATTTTAGAATTTAGATTTTATTTATTTTTGGGTAAATTGAAACTTCATAGTTAATTTCGTAACATTTAAAAATTGTGAAATTACACTTAGTCCAATGGTATGGACTACTGACTCGAAATCTGAAGGTTGTGGGTTCCATTCCAGGTTGGGAATTTTAGATTTTAAAATTTTATTACTTTTTTGGGTAAATTAAAACATTATAGTTAATTTTGTAACCTTTAAAAAGTGTGAAATTATGCTTAGTCCAATGGTATGGACTGCTGACTCTAAATCTGAAGGTTTCGGGTTCAAATTCAGGTTGGAAATTTTAGATTTTATTTATTTTTGGGTAAATTGAAACTTCATAGTTAATTTCGTAACATTTAAAAATTGTGAACTTACACTTAGTCCAATGGTATGGACTACTGACTCTAAATCTGGAGGTTGTGGGTTTAATTCCAGGGTGGGAATTTTAGATTTTAAAATTTTATTACTTTTTGGGGTAAATTAAAACATTATAGTTAATTTCGTAACCCTTAAAAATTGTGAAATTACACTTAGTCGAATGGTATGGACTACTGACTCTAAATCTGAAGGTTGTCGGTTCAAATCCAGGGTGGAAATTTTAGATTTTAAAATTTTATGTCTTTTTGGGTAAATTTAAAATTAATAGTTAATTTCGTATCCACAAAAAAGTGTGAAATTATGCTTAGTCCAATGGTATGGACTGCTGACTCTAAATCTGAAGGTTGTGGGTTCAAATCCGGGTTGGAAATTTTAGATTTTATTTATTTTTGGGTAAATTGAAACTTCATAGTTAATTTCGTAACATTTAAAAGTTGTGAAATTACACTTAGTCCAATGGTATGGACTACTGACTCGAAATCTGAAGGTTGTGGGTTCAATTCCAGGGTGGGAATTTTACATTTTAAAGTTTATTACTTTTTTGGGTAAATTAAAACATTATAGTTAATTTCGTAACCTTTAAAAATTGTGAAATTACACTTAGTCCAATGGTATGGACTACTGACTCAAAATCTGAAGGTTGTGGGTTCAAATCCAGGATGGGAATTTTAGATTTTAAAATTTTATTACTTTTTGGGGTAAATTAAAACATTATAGTTAATTTTGTAACCTTTAAAAAAGTGTGAAATTAGGCTTAGTCCAATGGTATGGACTACCGACTCGAAATCTGAAGGTTGCTGGTTCAAGTCCCACAGTTGGAATTTTAGATTTTAAAATTTTATTACTTTTTTGGGTAAATCAAATCATTATAGTTAATATCGTAACCTTTAAAAATTGTGAAATTACACTTGGTATGGACTGCTGACTCTAAATCTGAAGGTTGAGGGTTCAAATCCAGGTTGGAAATTTTAGATTTTATTTATTTTTGGGTAAATTGAAACTTCATAGTTAATTTCGTAACATTTAAAAATTGTGAAATTACACTTAGTCCAATGGTATGGACTACTGACTCGAAATCTGAAGGTTGCGGGTTCAATTCCAGGGTGGGAATTTTAGATTTTAAAATTTTATTACTTTTTGGGGTAAATTAAAACATTATAGTTAATTCGTAACCTTTAAAAATTGTGAAATTACACTTAGTCCAATGGTATGGACTACTGACTCGAAATCTGAAGGTTGTGGATTCAAATCCAGGGTGGGAATTTTAGATTTAAAATTTTATTTCTTTTTTGGGGTAAATTAAAACATTATCGTTAATTTTGTAACCTTTAAAAAGTGTGAAATTAGGCTTAGTCCAATGGTATGGACTACCGACTCGAAATCTGAAGGTTGCGTGTTTAATTCCAGGTTGGGAATTTTAGATTTTAAAATTTAGTTCTTTTTGGGTAAATTTAAACTTGATAGTTAATTTTGTAACCACTAAAAAGTGTGAAATTATGCTTAGTCCAATGGTACGGACGGCTCACTTGAAATCTGAAGGTTGTGGGTTCAAATCCAGGGGTGGAGTTTTGGTTTTTGAAATTTTATGTCTTTTGGGGTAAATTTAACTTCATAGTTAATTTCGTAACCACTAAAAAGTGTGAAATTATGCTTAGTCCAATGGTATGGACTGCTGACTTGAAATCTGAAGGTTGTGGGTTCAATTCCAGGGTGGGAATTTTAGATTTTAAAATTTTATTACTTTTTTTGGTAAATTAAATCATTATAGTTAATATCGTAACCTTTAAAAATTGTGAAATTACACTAAGTCCAATGGTATGGACTACTGACTCTAAATCTGAAGGTTGTGGGTTCAAATCCAGGGTGGAAATTTTAGATTTTAAAATTTTATGTCTTTTTGGGTAAATTTAAACTGCATAGTTAATTTCGTAACCACTAAAAAGTGTGAAATTACACTAAGTCCAATGGTATGGACTACTGACTCTAAATCTGAAGGTTGTGGGTTCAAATCCAGGGTGGAAATTTTAGATTTTAAAATTGTATGTCTTTCAGGGTAAATTTAAATTTTATAGTTAATTTCATAACCACTGAAAAGTGTGAAATTATGCTTAGTCCAATGGTATGGACTGCCGACTCGAAATCTGAAGGTTGCGGGTTCAAATCCAGGTTGGAAATTTTAGATTTTATTTATTTTTGGGTAAATTGAAACTTCATAGTTAATTTCGTAACATTTAAAAATTGTGAAATTACACTTAGTCCAATGGTATGGACTACTGACTCGAAATCTGAAGGTTGCGGGTTCAATTCCAGGGTGGGAATTTTAGATTTTATTTATTTTTGGGTAAATTGAAACTTCATAGTTAATTTCGTAACATTTAAAAATTGTGAAATTACACTTAGTCCAATGGTATGGACTACTGACTCGAAATCTGAAGGTTGTGGGTTCAAATCCAGGGGTGGAAGTTTTGGTTTTTGAAATTTTATGTCTTTTGGGGTAAATTTAACTTCATAGTTAATTTCGTAACCACTAAAAAGTGTGAAATTATGCTTAGTCCAATGGTATGGACTGCTGACTTGAAAGCTGAAGGTTGTGGGTTCAATTCCAGGGTGGGAATTTTAGATTTTAAAATTTTATTACTTTTTTGGGTAAATTAAATCATTATAGTTAATATCGTAACCTTTAAAAATTGTGAAATTACACTAAGTCCAATGGTATGGACTACTGACTCTAAATCTGAAGGTTGTGGGTTCAAATCCAGGGTGGAAATTTTAGATTTTAAAATTTTATGTCTTTTTGGGTAAATTTAAACTGCATAGTTAATTTCGTAACCACTAAAAAGTGTGAAATTATGCTTAGTCCAATGGTATGGACTGCCGACTCGAAATCTGAAGGTTGCGGGTTCAAATCCAAGTTAGAAATTTTAGATTTTAGATTTTATTTATTTTTGGGTAAATTGAAACTTCATAGTTAATATCGTAACATTTAAAAATCGTGAAATTACACTTAGTCCAATGGTATGGACTACTGACTCGAAATCTGAAGGTTGTGGGTTCCATTCCAGGGTGGGAATTTTAGATTTTAAAATTTTATTACTTTTTTGGGTAAATTAAAACATTATAGTTAATTTCGTAACCTTTAAAAAGTGTGAAATTAGGCTTAGTCCAATGGTATGGACTACCGACTCGAAATCTGAAGGTTGCAGGTTCAATTCCAGGGGGGGAATTTTAGATTTTAAAATTTAGTTCTTTTTGGGTAAATTTAAACTTGATAGTTAATTTTGTAACCACTAAAAAGTGTGAAATTATGCTTAGTCCAATGGTACGGACGGCTGACTTGAAATCTGAAGGTTGTGGGTTCAAATCCAGGGGTGGAGTTTTGGTTTTTGAAATTGTATGTCTTTTGGGGTAAATTTAACTTCATAGTTAATTTCGTAACCACTAAAAAGTGTGAAATTATGCTTAGTCCAATGGTATGGACTGCTGACTTGAAATCTGAAGGTTGTGGGTTCAAATCCAGGGTGGGAATTTTAGATTTTAAAGTTTTATTTCTTTTGGGTAAATTGAAACTTGATAGTTAATTCCGTAACCACTAAAAAGCATGAAATTATGCTTAGTGCAGTGGTTCAGACTGCTGACTCTAAATCTAAAGGTTGCAGGTTCATTCCCACGCTGGGAATTTTAGATTTCAAAATTTTACTACTTTTTAGGTCAATTGAAACTTTACAGTTAATTTTGTAACCACAAAATAGTGTGAAGTTGTGCTTAATCAAGTAATACGGACTGATGACCCTAAATCTGAACTTCTGAAGGTTGCTGGTTCAAGTCCCACAGTTGGAGTTTTAGATTTTAAAATTTTATTAATTTTGAGGTCAATTGAAATTTATATTTTTTTCAAGTTTGAAACCAGTCCACACTTCTAGTCTAGCAAAAGCCAAAAAGTAAAAAAGCAAATACTTTTAGCTTGAAGCAAATAGTGAAAGCATTTGCTCTCATTTTTATTCATGCAAATAAAAGTTATGCTTAAAAATATGTAGTAAAAAAAAAAAGCAAATGCTAGTTTTTATACATACGACCAAATGTTTCAATGTTAATCATAATTGCATCGTTTATGTTTCAGTAACAGATTTGAGGACCTACATGGATCTGTTTGGGCCTACAACGACGCCCATTCACTGAGCGGATTCGGGATTGCCCATCGAGAACTCGAAAAGATAGGAGAGACCAAGGCCAGTTGCTTTGGTAAAATTTTTCATTCAGGTAAGACCAACTTTCATGAAGACTCAACTCATTAGTTCAAGTCCCCCCCCCCCAACTAAGCCCTAAGACAACACTGAGTGTACACTGTTTACAAAATATGTCCGGTTTTATTTAGTTAAGTGGCTTTCAGGATGTTAGTTCTCCCACGTTTTAATAGTGGCCCCTCATTTGACATTTGTCTTCATACGTTCTTTTGTCAAAGCCATCGGGGCAGAATATTTTTGGCATGCTGTTGGAAAGAATCAATTTTCAACTTTTGTTGTTGTGAAAATCCTGTTGCGTGACATCACAGCCTGTGTTGTGATGTGGATGAGTTCTACCTGATTGATAAACGTGACCCGACTCAGAGGTGTCATGTCTTGGTGACAGTCCCTCGCTTGTCAGTAGGTACAGAATGTCATTTGGTGACAAGTGAACGTCCTTATCCAAAGTCAAGGAGTCATGTCCCACAGTATCTCCGGGGTTATCCACGGTGTTGCCGAGCGGCTCCGAATCCTCCTCAGACGTTATCGTCATGACGACTGTCTGCTCTATGTTCCCAAAGGTGTCCTCTGAGGACGACATCATGGCCATGTGTGAGATGTCCTGTGATTGGTCAGCCAGGTCTGGTACCAAGACTGTAGATTCAGCTGCAGATTCCTCGGGGGCTGGTTTGGATAATGCGCAGGCCTGAGCGTACAGCCGTAGCTGTGCTAGATGGTGGTGCAGCAGCTGGGTGTGCTCCTCGGACATGTGTTGCAGTAACTCTTGCAAAATGGACTGGTTCTCACTGTCGTTGGTTAGACGTTTCAAACTGGACGTGTGAATCATGGACAGCTGCTGCTTGAGTGACATGTTTGTGTTGGACAAATACTCAACCTGGAGAGCAAGAAGGATGGGCAGAGAAATTATTTGTTTACAGATGGAATTTTAATAGACCAATCCATTAGGCTCTGCCCCATGATGTGTAACCAATCACAACCATGACAGCGCAACTAAATGTCCGACATTTATGCAGTTTCATTATGATGTGTGCAGTTGGAGCATGAAAGCTTTAAAGGGAATATACAACATTTGCAAACATCGAAAAATAAAGCTACCAAGTTTTTACGAAATACTTTACTAGGATGTTGGTGAATGAGAGTATGAAGCATCCTGTAAAATTTTGGCACCTGGTGTGAAGTCATTTTCAAGAAAATAATATTTTTGTATACATTTCCAACGATGGTCGGCCGACCACCGTTGGAAAAACCGAACTATTTTTCAACTACTGATCCAAATTTACCACTTTTTTCAGTCCAAATTTAGTTTGCTATTGGTTACATGTTCATGAACGGGTGCAGGCAGGCTAGACAGGTTCCCTTACCTTACAATTTTCCGGCATCTTTAAATATTGATCTATTCTATCTTTAGTGGAGTCAGGGAACCAGACTGCTTGAACATTTTTGTTTTTCTTGTTTTTTCCGGCATTTTCGAACACAAAACTTCAAACATGTTAGTGTAACAATATTTGATTTATTAAACGAACCCCTCAAATAGTTCATTTCTGAAAATTACAACAAAAGCCAATGATGTACATGTACATTCCCTTTCAGGACACACATGTGTTGTTGCCCAATTATGAATGCAACTAGAGTACATGTATGAATGCAACAAGATGGATGTTTGTCTTGGTTCAAGACTGGACTCGGATTCTTTCCATTGTTTCAGCTGGTACTGATCCCTGCCATTCAAGTTGAAGCCATTGAGGTGCTATAGGGCACTGTCAACAGGTAAATCAAGTCAAATATTGGGAAGTTTGGCATCCAAACCCAGGAAATCCAAGTGTATGTATATTGTATAAGTATATTGGGGAATTTCCAAGTCCAGGTAAAAAAGATCCAAATACTGGATTTGATTCAAGTTTACTGGATTTGATTCCAAGTTTTTTGACAGCGTCCTCTGGTACCGCAGTGGCTTGACCACACTTGTCAGGTATGTGTACCTGTCAGGGGTGTCGATATGGGAGGGGGGAACATGCCCCCCTTTTTGTTTTAAAGTGGGGGGGGGGGGGGGGGGGGAAATCACAGCGTTTGTCTCCCCCCCTTTTTTGTCCCGAATAAAAATTGTAGCCTACATTTGATTCAATAGCTCAGAACAGCTGATTCAATAACGCCAAAATAGAATGATGTTTAACTCATGATCTTTTGCTGAAAAATAAGGGTCAGAACTTGCCTCAGATTGCACCACAAAGCCTTTGTAATCCAAAATTTTCTGGGGCCCTTAGCTTATCCCAAGCCGTTATGGCTTCTCGCTTGCATTCGTTCTGATAAGTTATGTCCCCCACCCACCCAGTTATTGAGAAGCGATTGACGCCCTTGCTACCTGTTGCACTCAGGAACAAAATCCAAACTCATTCTTAGACCAAGACCAGATGGAATGCCCGCTTACCTTTGTACAAAGCCTTTCTATATTGCCTTTCATCCTGTGCTCTGCCTGGGCCCACGTGGTCCGCTCCTCCTCAAGAGTCTTCTCCAGACGCTCCTCCTGCAGCAGCAGCGACAAGTTGTGCTCTGTGTAGCAAGTCTCGTCCTCCAAATCCCCTTTGCTTCCTTCGTCTGGTATCTCAATAAGGACAGCTGTTTACGAGAGGACAGAATGGTCGAGGGAAACGTTGAGTAATTATCCTGGATACTGATTCCTGTATTACAGAAAATCCCTCAGGCCACTCCGGGTGAGGGCTACACAGAGGGGAAAGACAGGAGTTTATAGAGTAGAAATGTCGACATGTATGTTGCGCTTCAATGGGACAGATAATCTGTAGCCTTAAAAACAGGATACAGGCAAGGAAGTCCCAAGAGATGCCGTGCGTGTCAAGAACACATAATTTCATGTAAGTGGGTGTAAGCAATCACTCATTTTTTAACCTTATTCCTAACATTAGGTGGGCAAGGTGAGGGACAAATTCCAATATTTAATTAACTGTTGAAGTCAGCTTTCAAAATGTATTGCCACCCTGACTTATTTTTTTTTTTTTTGCTTAAAACCTTCTCGAGTCTTCCAAAATTCAATCAACTTAAAATAACACCAGTGGCACACTCTTTGCACCTTTAAATTCCAATTTGTAAAATCCATTGGCAATATTGGCCCTCACCCACCCCAAACCCCTTAAAAAAATGCTGAATTTTTGATGGTTGTTTTATTTATTTTTTAAACAAGTGCAGGAGTGAAGACAACTGTATTAAACATGCTGTTGTCTACCCATTCCCTTCTTTCATATGAATTCACGATATATCAATTGAAAACAAAGTGGGGGGGATGGGTTGAGGGGGGGGGGGGGAAGAGTGCTTCCTTGTATCAAATGCCTGCCCCTTGGCTTTTTGGTCAGCTTCTTCTAATTATCCTTCACTGCTGGTGGCATTATCCACCTTAACCTCTGGGTAAATGCTGAAGGATTCTTGGAGGGTCAGGGTTAATATTCTTACCATCTTACCTTCCCCATTGGCAGTGCTCTGGCTCGGATCATTGATGCAGGCATACTGGTACTCGATCTGCGGCTGCTGCCCGTCAGTCTGCTCATAGCCCCGGGGATGATGTGGCTCGACTCACCATAATTGAGGCAGATAGCGCGTGTTGTCCAACGCAAATTAAATGCGAGTGCGTCAAAACATTTCCTGGTCGTTTTTGGTGGACTGACGATATGTCATGAGGGATTGTGCTGCAATTAACCATTTTGTGGGGTTCTGTGTCTATGCCGCTCCGCTCACGCGGAGCATCATATTTCTAGGAGTAACCGAATACCGTAGCAGCAGCCATTCAATATTCATTGTGAAGTGTCCGGAAACTGGACAATTTTACATTTTGCTTTCTTAAAATTACTTTTGCGACGAGGTGTCCAACTAAAGAATATAAACAATTGGTAATCCTTACTTTTAGGACCCCGTTCCTATAATATAGGAAGGAAAAGGCTCACCAAAACAGCTGACTAAATGACACTTAATATGTTTGACAGCAGATAAATTGACGTCCGAGTACGGAACTTTTCCCGGTTTAAGTTTGTGGAAAGAGGGCAGGGCTTTGATTTTAGAGGGAAATTGAGGGGTAAAAGATGACGATGACAACCAGAAAACAGACTCAAAAACCAAGATGGCAAACGTGAAAGCTCAATGCAATGAAAGCTCGATGCTGATTGGCTGACAAAAAATAAACATCTTAATTATTTTTTTTAGCAGCCAATCAGCATCGGGCTTTCATTATGTAGGGCTTTCACGCGTGTTAGAACTACAACATGCATGTCTGACTGTGAAAAAAGGTAGGAAAGTCACATTTTTTTGAAAGTGCTTTCAAAACTACAACTAACATGAGTTTATATGAAGAAAAAAGACTGTTTTAGCCTGCAAAAGTCAATTGGTACTGACTACTGGACAGTCATCTGCAAAAGTCAGTTTTGAACAGAACTCGTTTCGTAAAAAATAGAGGTGTCCTAAAAGTAAGGATTACCAAACAATTTTCCACAATCTCTTGGGTACCTACCACATAGATAGCCATTTTCAATAACTCCTTTGTCTTCAATAATCACATAAATTTGGGGGGGGGGATTCAAGGGGAAAAACTCAAAAACATTGATCCCCATGTTCAGCGTAAACAGCGCCCTCCAGAAAAAAAAGAAAACATGGGTTTAAAGGGTTTCTGAAAATTCGATTCATTCCCAGCTGTGGCTTTGTCTACTATAATTATTTGAAGATTATGAAATTTCCACACAGCTACTCAGAAAGCGTCAGTTGTCAAATAAGAATAGACAAATAGGTATTATTGGGCTTCCGTTACGGGAGACGTATGCGTCTCGTTAAAAAAAGAAGGATGCCAGTTCAGTATGAACCTGAAGCAGTTGTGATCTGCGATGGAGGCCGATGTTTCGAAAGAGCTTGCATGCCCATCGAACGACACATGAGGGCAGCATTCAACAACATAAACACGCGACTGTAGCTGTACGGCACTGTCTTCCGAGTGGCCGAAACTGTACCTGTTGTTACCTTTGCCACTTTCTTATTACTGGTACGTCAGTATTACTAATTTTATTTAACCATTTAATAAATGGTAACATTAATTTGGTTGTTTATATTAGCTATTGGTGAAATCTGCATTATTGTATTTAGTGAAACGTACTGCAAGAAGTGGTCATAGACGTACTGCGTGTATTGTATAGCGTGGCATCCATAGCCACGCACGGCGCGCTGTAGCCCCATAAATGTGGCCTATTTACTGGACTGCCTCCGTAAACATAGGCCACATATGATGTACAAAAATCGTGTCGACTTTGCCAAATTTTGATTTTCACATTTAGGCTTAGTTTGTAGGTTTTTTTTGCTTTAGAAGCATACTCACCCTCTTTTATAGGCTAATCAGAAAGTGCTGCCTTTTTCAGATGTATATTTTTCGTGAAATTTCCAGATTCATTTTTACACGTTTGCGTATCAAAATTTCAACATGAAATTTCACAAAAATTGGACATCTGAAAAAGGCAGCACTTTCTGACTAGCCTATAAAGAGGGTGAGTATGCTTCTAAAGCAAAAAAATCCTACAAACTAAGCCTAATGTGAAAATCAAAATTTGGCAAAGTCGACACGATTTTTGTACATGTGGATGTGTGGCCTATGTTTACGGAGGCAGTCCAGTAAATAGGCCACATTTATGGGGCTAGGCGTGCTGAATCGCAAGGCACAAACCGCGCAGGAAAATCGTGGTTTCTATCCCAAAAATCCGTTCAAAATTGCAAAACGGGTGTCATTATAATTGAGGAAAAACTGCTTTGATTGTAAAGGTGATTTTTGAGCAATAAAAAAAAAAACATTTTTGACTCCAATATGATCAAAACAAAACAGGGGCCCTACACTTCATGATCGCCGTAATTTTTCCCTAAATGACCTAAATCAACCATCTGAAAGTGATATTTTGTCCTAAAAAGTCTAAATTAGCAGTGTCAAATTTTGAATTTTTACCGAGAAAACACTTACAAATTTTCAGAGCAGTCCCATAGGGTTTGTGCACAGTGTGACAGTGTGACAAGTGATGGCCAGGTATGGGAATCTTTCCCAATTAACATCAAAGGAAAGATTCCCATACACTGTATATGGCCATCACTTGCCACCCTGTGCACAAACCCTATGAGACTGGTCTGAAAATTTTTGTTTTTCTCAGTTAATACTTCAATATTTTCCTAGCTCTACTGAAAGGAACGCTGGAACTTCGGTACGCATTTTTCGTAAAAATTATTCACATTGCCAGGTTCATGGGTCGGTACGTATGGTAAACCTAGCCAACTGTGCAAACTGCAAAGTGACACGGTTCCTGTGCCGTGCTGACCGGTCAATGTGGCCGTCCGTACACGGTGACATTGTTGCAGTTCGACTGACCTATAGACCTTAATCAATGGTGAAAATCAACATTGCCATTTTTCAACGGCATTAGAGACTTACTTGCAAATATTACCGAACTGAATTTTTACACTCTAAATATATTTCCATACCAAACTGTGTATTTCTTGCTATTTTATTTTTGATTTTACGGATGATCCTGCAGTTTTCTGATGAACCATTGCGCTGCCCGAGAAACGATTGCTTGTCTGCAGTCCATCATGAATCGATGATGATGTCAATTCAAAAAGTCATAGTCAGTGATTTCGAAAGTTTACCTATGGCAAAAAGTCGGATTTAGTGATTTCAAAAGTTTACCTCTGGCAAAAAACAAAAAAAAAACCTTTAGGTTTCTTTAAGATAATGTAAACTTTTCGAATTGATCAAATTAGGTTTTGCCCTTCACCGACGTATAAACACTGTATACTCAGTCTGTTACCTCCCGAGTGAAAGTTGGGAAAAATCAAGCCGGTGGGACTCGAACCCACGATGTCCAGTGCTTTCTAGTGCAGGTGTCTTACCACTCGACCACCGAGCTAACGGGATGTGTTGGCCAGTTCGATTTGAACTTTAGCAGCGGGTACCGCATAACTATTTATTGCCAAATCACCCAGTATTGCTGTTCCAATGTGCAAGGAAACAGGTCATCTGGTACCTTGGGCAACTCGTACCTTGGACAACTCATACATTTAATGTGACATCATTATGCCAACTCGTACCTTGGACAACTCGTACCTTCAATAAAGACGTCTCGTTCCATTACGTGTAAGTCAAGTCGTACTGAATCAATTAAAAGTACAGACTGCTCTTGCAATATGTGTTTTAATTTTGGTTAGGTTTAAAAAAAAAAAAAGTTATGTTGGCGTAACGGGCTAGAAAAAATAGGGTAGGTAGGTGGGTTTTTTTTTTTAATTTTTTTTTTTTAATCCCAGCAACGAAAATGACATTAAGCCGGTAGTAGTACACGATAACAAAAGAAAACAAGGCTACACACAATATTTGTATACTTTTAAACTCATCATCAACCTTTCCAAAGGTACATATTAAAAAGCGGAATCCAAAATCAGACAAAATGTTAGCCGTTTCATCTGCGTCGACATCTTTATACATGTATGGACCCGATTCTTCCTTTGAAGTTTGTATTTTTAGCACGGTGTAACCCGCTTTTACACCATCGGCACAGCTCTGGGCGATTACCCCCAGCTCTAGACTCAAATTTATCCGCATTAAACGGTCGAAAATGACCGAAGATCCCCATTTGCCCTTGATGGAAACACTGTACGCTTCGGTACCGGGCGCCATGATGCGACGGCGTATGCGCGTAACCACGGGCCGGGGGCCGGCCGGGTCGCGTCGGCCGCCGGGGTTACAGAATAGTTTACCATTTTTAGAATAAATATATATCAATTGTTATCGTGTAAAATAGTGGGAAATTAATTAAAATAATAAGGGAATAAATGTGTGCTCCGGAGGTTTTTATCACTCTGTTTAATACCACTTAGAGTCTGGGTGCTGATAATTACCCCAGCTGGCGAGTAGGATGAAAACAACCCTTTTATGGAGATTGACGCGCGCGTATCATGTTCTACGCGATGTCGCGCAGAACGCACCTGGCGCGTTGCGTTTTGAATTTAGAACTATAAAATTCTAACTCCCTGGTAGTGTTGCGCATGCCTACGTGAGGATTGTGAACGTTCAACCAATGAAACGATAAGAGGCACTGGATTTTTAGGAGTCCACATTTTATTGTGACACTGGAAAAGTGTTTAAGACCAGCTAGCCATGTCTTTATCATCCGTTTAATACCGGCCACGTGACGGGCTCTCGACCAATAGGAATGGCTAAACTGTCTGAGGTATTTATGAATGTATATTATAATGAACTATTTTTTTTTTAACATGGAATAAATAGCGAAGTATTTTCAATAGTGTACATGTATGTAGCAGTTCGCGCCGTGCAACAGTCTAGGACGAGGCTATACATGTACTGTACATGTACATGTGCATCTATCATGCATGCATCGTGCATCGATCTCCGCACGCGCGCTGTAGGCCTGCGCGATCTTCTGCATGTTCGTTGTGTCATGGAGAGGAAGGTGCAAAACATTGTGCACTCCAAAGTTCCACGCGCGCTATCGTCATACAATTGAGGAGAAACGGTCAGAAATGGTTTCAAAACGTATTTAAAATTCATTTCTATAGATTTTAATTATATTTCTTCCCTTCAAAAAAAAAAAAATATCCAGGGTCGGCCGCATTTTTAGGGTCGGTCGGGTTACGCCAACATAACACTTTTTTTTTTAGGCCTTAGTAGACTTTGCAAGAAAACGAATGCAGGAAATACTTTGACAGTCACCATATGTGAAGATGAAATGGTTACTCTCTCCTATTCATCTCAACATTTATTTCCATATTTCAAAGAACATTCAGGTAACAGAAAGATTTCCATATACGAAGTTCACTAATTTTCCTCTGTATTGACTAACAAGCCCCCAGATAGCAATTTCATGTCATCAAAGTCAATTTGAGCAGTGAAAAAATACAAGCATTTTCTTAGAAAACACTTAGAATTTTTCAGTCCAATCTCATAGGGTTTGTACACAGGGTGTTGAGTGAACTTCGTATATGGAAATCTTTCCCAGGTAACTATACAAAAAGGTCAAGAAACGAATGTTTGTTAAAAATATGAGATTAATGATTATGTAAAGACACAACTGAAAAAAAGTAAATTTAGAGAAAGTAAATCTTTAAATTTGCTTTCTCTTATTTTGTATCTGTTAAGTGTTTAATTCTTTGCTAAAGCTCGTTCTGGATGAGAACATCATAAGCTTTGAACTTGCTACCTTGGTACTGGTGCACACAGAATGCGCATCGGGCACTGAAGCATTATAAAAAAAGTTTCCAAATATTCTTGAAGTAATAACTAACACTTCTTGGCAGCAATAATCCTTCTGTTTACAAAAAAGGACCACCCCACCCCCCCCCCCAAAAATGTACTTAAAGAAAACAAAATAAAAGTTTCAAAATATTCTCTAAAGGGTACAGTCCATCATTTGTAAATTGTGTATTTTACTCGTTTGAAGCAACAAACACGCTCAAAATCTAAAGAAGGGTACTGAACAACTAATTTGGTGAAGTTTCAGCTCAGCTCAGCTGTAGGCCTACATTTCGAGTAAAACAACATTCTAGGATTTCGATTTCAAATCAAAAGATGCTGAATCTTGTTTTGAATTTGGC